CTGGGGACTCTGGTGGGTACTGGTTGGGGCCTGTGGGGGTTTCCTGGGGCGGGACGAAGCTTGGGTGACTGGGCTGAGGTCCCCAGCCAACTCCGAGTGGGGTGTCCCAGGCAGGTTGGGGTGGACAGGAGGGTGGGGGTGGGGGAGCCAGCAGCCCCCTCTCTTGGGGCGTGGCTGTGACCCCCTTCCCTTCACATGAAGCAGTCAGGATGTGGCAGCCGGGGACTCGGGGCCTTCACGGGGCAAGTTCAAGCCCAGCGCCGGCCTCCCTGGGACCCTCCACAGCTCCTGTCATGATCATGTCACGTGGACATGGGATCTGTGGCCGAAGAGACAAATAGCAGCGTCGGCCAGGGGCGGCTAGAGGCCGGACACCGAGCAGGAAGTGGGGACTGATGGGAGCCGGGACTCTAGGTGGGGGAAGGGAGGGTCTGCTGGCAAAGCCTCCCCCACCAGGCCTCTCTCCATGGCTCTGAGTGCCCCCTGGCCGGCCCCCTAGGGGTCCTCACCCTGGGACCCCTGTGTCCCCTGTGAACCGAATCTGTCTGGACCCCATGCCGGGTGATGCCCCCACTCCCTCCTCCCAGCCCCAGGGTGGGGGAACCCTGCTTCGTCCTTGCCCAGACCCCGTCGGGGGAATTAAACAGGGGGACGGGACGTGGGGCAGAAGGGACAGCAGCGGGGGCTTGGGGCCGCCTGAGAAAGCAGGGGCTCCTGGAGGCTTCCAGGCTCTCTGCCACCTGGCAGGGTGCCACCAGGGTCCCCAGGCACAGGCTGCCCACTGCCCAGCGCCGGACGCCCCAGCTCCACCACACCTGGGTCTCTCCCCAGCCAGGCCCTGGCCCTGGGGACCCTCGAGGACAGGCCTGGACACACCAGGGAGGGTTCGCGGCAGCCCCCACCGGACGGTCTCTGCGTTTGAACCGTGATGCCGGGACCGTTGGCCTCTGGCGCCATCTGGTGGGCAAAGTGGTCCCTGCGCGAGGTCAGGCTTGGTGGGCGGCTCTGAAGCCAGTGGGTCCTGAACTGGGGGCTGGGGCAGAGGCAGTGAGAGCTGGGGTCACCCTTACCAGGTCACTTCTCTGTCTGCCCTTGGGGACCTGCCCCAGTTCTGCTCCCCAGGTAGATGGGTTTGGGGCCAGGGCCCCCCCAAGGCAGGCAACCCTCAACTTGGCCACCCTCTGGCCTTGAGTCCCATGGCCAGGCTCTCAGATGGGGCCTGGCCTCCCAACAGCAGCCCAGCACCCCTGACCAACCCTCACCCCACAAGGCCATAGCCCCTACAGCAGCCCTGCCCGTCCATTCCCGGCCTGGAGCTTAGTGTTCCTGCAACAGGCTGGGGCCCATGGAGAGTAGCTTGCACCTGGCACGCTGGGGTGTGGCTGTTAACGCTGGGGGTGCAGCCTCACCAAAGCCGGGGTGTTCCCAGTGGCTCTTCCACTACCACGAGGCGGGCCGCACCTCGGCCCCTCAGCTTCATCTCCCCCTGTCCCCAGAAGAGCTGAGCCCGAGCACCCCGGGGACCGGCTCTGAACACACTGTGTGGGCCCTTCCCTCCCCAGCTGGCCCTCAGAGACCATTGGCAGGGCCTGATTTTCGGGACCACAGCCACAGGCAACCTCCTGCCTGCTCCTCCCCTTCAGCTCTGCAAACCAGCTCCTGACCAAGGAGACTTTCAGCACTGCCCTCTGATCTAGCCTTCTGAGAGGACCACACCACCGGGCAGCCCCACCCCGGGCCTCGGCTCCCTAAGCCCCAGGACCCCACATCAGGCCCTGCGGACTCAGGCAGAGCACGGCCGGCGCTGGCCACTGGGGGGCACACGTGCAGTTCCCACGGCTCCCCGCAGCGCCGGTGTATGACATCCAGTCCTGCCCGGCTCAAGCCCGAGGACAGGGGAGGGGAGTTCCGTGCAGGGCTTTCTCACACCCAGATTGAAACCCCTGGTTTCCAGGATAAGACCCAGGGCCCGAACCGGCCCAGCTGACCTTCCTGGCCTGGTCGCAGGGCCCAGGGAAGCTGGATGCTGGGGGTGTGACTGGGACCCTCCCACCTCCCCGCAGCCCCACCCACCCTCTGCTGGATTTGCTGCCAGCGAGTGTCCAGCCCGGCTGCCCCACACCCTCCAGCAGCTGGTGGGCGACCCTCCCGGCAGTGGGACTTGCCTGGCCGGGCCACACCTGCCGTAGCAGCTGGCTCGAAATCCCCAAATCCTGGCAAGCCGCCCCGTGGCCCCGCACCGGCCAGGCCAGTGTGTCCTTAGCCCGGAGGGTCTGCCTGTCCTTTGCTGAACCGGCTGTTGGGGACTGTGGCCAGGTGGGCAGGCGCACAGCACCCCAGCCTGGAGACACGAGGGCTGCCCACATGCCAGGCTGCGCCATCTCGGCCCTTTGTGTGTGTGTGGGCTGGGGGGCACCCCACCTGGGCTCTGCCAGAGCAATTCAGATGAGGGTCTGCAGGCTTTTCAGGGAAAAGAGAAATAGAGACATGGGTGCCGGGGTCTGACCCTCACCCCACCTCCTTGGGCAGGGGAGAAAGTGGGGTGTCCTCCTTCCGAGGGCAGGTGGCCACTGGACAGGCCCAGCCCCCCTGCCCTGGCCCCCCTGCCCCAGCCAGCCTGCCCCAGGCCCGTCAGCCCCCTCAGTGTCCACCTCCAGCTCGTCCTCACTGGGACCCTCAGGCCAGTGGCAGCCTGGGCAGGCCAGGAGGGTGGGCAGGACCAGGAGGGGCGGGGTCAGCTGCCACAGGGGCCCTCCAGGCCGGCACCCAACCCTGGCCTGGGTTTGCCACTCGACACCTGGCCGCTCAGCTGCTCCCAGGCCTTGGGGGAGGCCGGGTCCCTGGCTGCTGGATGCTGGGGGTCAGAGCCCCAGAAACAGAGAGGCAGTGGTTGCCGCCCATCCAGGGCCTAGGTGGGGGTGCTGGCCTAACTCTCTGAACCCAAGGCAGGCAGTGAAACCGCAGTCAGTGCTTCCCCCTGTGAGTGCTCGCTTACCCTCGCCCCCCGGCATTTGCTGAGCACCTACTGTGTGCTGCTGGGCCCTCAGTGCTGAGGCAAAGCCAGCAAGGGGTCTGTGGAAACTGTGCTGTGCCCAGGAGGGCGGCTCCTCCCTGGCCCCCCACTGTCTGGGTGCTGGGGCTCCCCAAGCATGCACCCTCCTGGGACCCTGCCCTGCCCAGTCTGCACCTGCTGGGTGTAGGTGGGGCCCCGTGCTCTGCCTGGGGTCGGTGGGAGGGCCTGGGGTGGCCGTGGTCCCCATGCTCTGCCTGGGGTCGGTGGGAGGGGCTGGGGTGGCCGTGGTCACTAAGCAGGGATTCCGAGGGGAGGGCCTGGGCGGCATCAGACGGTGACATCCTGGGGTCAGCGTCCTGCACTCAGCAAGACAGCAGTCCCTGCAGAGTGCTGAGCAGACAGAGGTGGGGGCTGGCTCGTCCTGTGGCCAAGCCTGGGTGGGAGAGCACTGCAGCCCTGGCCCACCCCAGCCTGGTGCTCACCCCCTGTGAGTCCCCCACTCTGGCATCTGTAGCCGAGGTAACTGATCCCTGGTGGGGGCCGGACCAGCCTGGGCTCTGGTCTCTCTTGGCTCCTGAGCCTCCGGCCCAGCTGTTGCCGGGGAGGCTGTGTCTGTCCTCGGGGCCAACAGCTGCAGGCCCGGAAGCGTCCCCCTCCCACATCCCCCAGAGCAGGTGTGTCCCCCACAGCCCAGCCCAGCCTGCCAAGGATGGGTCTCAGGGACACAGGGGCTTCCTGCCCTCCTCTGCCCAACTTTTCGGGACCTGGGCTGGGACTGCTGTTGGGGTCCTCAGGCCTGTGGGTAGCAGATACCAGGTCCCTGGTGACCGGCTTGTGGCCAGGCGGGCGGAGCACTCATGGCAGCCCTGAACAAGAGCAGCTGTGCCCCTCAGCCACGCTCACCAGACCCACAGTGCACAGCCGGGCACACGCCCTTCTTCTACCTGCCCCACCGTCCAGGCTCGGTGGGGGCCTGCCCGACGGCACTCCCCTCCCTCCAGGCTCCGACACCCGCTGGAGTGTCCTCACTGACCCGAAAACCTGTGTGACTGTCCCCAGCGTGGCAGGAGAAGGACGCCTGAGCCACGGCAGCCATTGGTGATCCTGTGTAAGCCAGGCGACAGCTGCACCCCAGGCCAGCTTCTGGTATCTTACCTGCAGTTGGGGTGCCCCTGGTGGGTGTCTAGCCCTGCCCAGCCCAACTCCACACCACTGTGAGGCTGACCAACTTCCCAGCAGTCGGTGGCCACAGTGGAGGACACCTGAGGCTCCACACCAGGGACCTACCTTGTGGACCCCTTCCCTCCTCCGCCCCAGCTGTGGGTACCATGTCCTCCCTCCTGTGTCCTGCTGCTTACGGGCCTCGACACCCCCCCCTACCCTGCCCCCCTGCTGCCTACTGGACCCATCACTGCCTTCAGCCCCCGAATCATCCTCTGACCCCGGAACCCTCCCCAGCCTGCTACCAGGGCCCAGTGTACCTGCTCCAGGGACGGAGTCAGCCCCTACCCTGACCTGACCCGGGCGCAGGAGAGCTCAGGTCAGGGACTCCCCAGGGAAGTAGCCGGAGCCCCTGCTGCACGGTGGAGGGGCCGGGCCCCTGGGGGACCTGCCAGGGTGAGTGCCAGTCAGGTTGGGTGTCCAGGGTAGCTGCCCTGCTACTATTGGTGCCTGTCCTGGGCTGAACAGTGTCCCCCAGATTCACATCTACCTGGAGCCTCAGTGTGTGATCTTACACGGAGATGGTGTCTTTGCAAATTTATTTATTTATTTATTTGCTTATTTATTTATTTTTTGAGCTGGAGTCTCACTCCATTGCCCTGGCTGGAGTGCAGTGACATGATCTCAGCTCATTGCAACCTCCGCCTCCCAGGTTCAAGCCTCCTGAGTAGCTGGGACTACAGGCGCCCACCACCACACCTGGCTATTTTTTGTATTTTTAGTAGAGACAGGGTTTTCCCATGTTTGCCAGGCTGGTCTTGAATTTCTGACCTCAGGTGATCTGCCCGCCTCAGCCTCCCAAAGTGCTGGGGTTACAGGTGTGAGCCACCGAGCCCAGCCTTTTTTTGCAAATTTAATCAGCTAAAATGAGGTCATGCAGGATAAGGGTGAAAGGGTTCTCGTGAGAAAAGGAAAAGAGAAGAATGGGTGGGGCCTCCGGGCAGGTGCTGGGCCTGGGGGCGTCAGGGTCCGGGGGGGCCAACCGGCCCTATTCATGCTCTTATCCCAGAGCGAGAGAAGCTAATGAGGCGGCGGCCTCTGCACCCCCAACATCAGAATCCCCACTCCCACACCGAGACCCGGGGGCTGACCGCCCGGTGCAGAAAGGCGTCTCCCCAGGAGAGCGAAGAGGGGGTCGGCACTGCTCCCAGCTGTGGGGAGGGCAGAACTTCCGGGAGGTGGATGCAGGGCCTGGAGAGGGAGCGCTGGGGAAGCAGGAAGACCCCTGCTCCTCCTGGGGCAGGGCCACCCATCGGCCGGGTGGTCGAGGCACAGAAAGGGGTGGGTCTGCGCATCTCTCAGGCCAGAGTCACCAGATCACTCGCAGCTGCCTGGACGGCCCTGATGCAAAGCGTTGGGGGAGTGTGGGGCTCGATGAGTGATGCCCGCCCTGGGCATGTGGAGGAGTGGGGTCCTGTGTGCCATGGCCAGCTGAGAAGGAGAAGGGCTTGCCAGCCAACCCTCAAAGGTCCTCCGCAGCCAGCCCGAGCTGAGGTTGCTCAGGGGCCTCAGAGCCAGCACCAGGCCGATCTCAGATGCCGGGATCAGGGGTTGCAGGGTCTGGTCCCCAAGAACTGTGTCTCCCATTGACGGCCTGGCAGCCAGGAAAGAGAAGGGAGAAACCCCCTCCCCAGCTTCCCCAGCCTGATCCCCTCCTGTTCCCGGGGACAGAGCCCCAGGCCAGACGTGAATCGGTGGTCCCCACCGAGCCCCCTGCATCCGAGTCTGCGGCTCCTCCCGCCCGCTCCGCACCAGATCCATCAGCCACCCCTGCTCCAGCGACCGACACCTTGCCGACCCCAGGGCTTTGGAGCCCCTGCCAAGTGCTAAGTGGCTTTGAGCAGGTGATTCATCCCAGCCCATTTCTCCCAGGGTCTTCAAGCATCTGATGATTTTATGTGGACGGAGCACTCTGCAAGCCACCTGCATTTCCCATCTCGGGAACCTTTCACTTCTGAGAGCGACGGGAGAGGTGGATGTTTATTTTATCGCTTTTCCCTGCGCAGGAGTTTAATAACAGCAGCCGGGCCGAGGCGGCGACGCACGGGCCGTTTGTGTCTCCGGAATTCTCTTCTTTTCCAGGCCCCATGCGTATGCACCGGCTGGCTGAGGATCGTGTTTTTTCCCTGGAAAGAAGTGGTTTTGCTATTAAGATCAGCATTTCGGCTAGATCGTTCTACCAGCCCTCGCCGCTGGGCTCAGCTGCCCAGGGATAGCGGCTGCCCCGGCCCGGTCGGCCCCGAAACGCCTGTCTGAGGCTCAGCTCAGGTGTCCAGGCCAGTGCTCGGGGCAGGGCACTCCCAGACGAAGCCTGAGCCTACACTGGCCCCGCAGGCCTCCCACCCTCCTCGGGGGCTGACCCCCGGCTGGCTGCCACAGCCACCTGGTCAGCAAGGCTCACTCTGGCCAGCGCGGGCACCCTAAGGCTCTGAAGAAGAGCCAGCACTTGTTAAGCACCGACTGCTGCTCGTGGACTCGCCTTATCTCTAAATGGGACGTTTCTGGCCTTCCCCTTGCAGAGGGCGAGGTGCTGAGAGCCGCGTTTATTTGCGAGTCCTGGTGCGTTCCCAGGCCCCAGACAGCATTGGAGGCGCTGCTCGAAGGCGCTGTCCTGTTCTCTGCACCAACCCCAGGGGCGTAGGTGTGCCCGTCCCATTCCTTAGGTGAGGAAACTGAGGCCCAGGGAGCTGAGCATCTGTCCGCAGGCCCAGAGATAGCGGGGGTTCAGCCCATGGCAGCCCGGCCGTCACCAAGAAGCATGGCCCTGCCCTGCCCTGCAGTCCCTCTGAGAGTCCCTGGCCTCCCTCGGTGCTGGGCAGGCCTGTCACTCTTCAGCGGCAGCTTCAGCAGGGAGCCTCCCCAGGGCTGCTTCCAGGGGCAGGATCTGAGCTCCCAGGGGCCCTCGAGGGGCCACTCCCCCAGCTGTGCTTCCTCCCTGCAGGATGGGGACAGGGGCCCAGCACGGCACCCCAGGCAGGCTGCATCAACAGCTCAGGGCACAACAGGGCCCCACACACATGGGCTGCAGGGTGGCCACTCCCAGAGCTGGGCCAGGCAGAGACGAAGGGGCAGCGAGGCCAGCCCTTCAGAGTGGGGGCAGCCACTGGTCATGTCCTCACTGACCCCCTTCTTGTCACTTGAGGTGGCCGGAGACCTGCAGACAAGCGCCCGAGTCACCTCCCCACTGACCACAGTCCCTCCCAGCAGCCCCTGGGGCTGGACCTGGCCCAGGTCCACAGAGCAGGTCTGTGGGGGTCTCAAGCCAAGCAGGGCAGGAGGGGCGTGCCGGGCTGTTGCCTTCACGGGTCTGAGGGGCCCAGGGTGGAACTGTCCCTGTCTCAGTGTCCCCCACCTGCCAGCCCAGCTCCATGCTGGCCAAGCACCATCCAAGTGGGTCCTGAGACCAGCAGCCAGGGCCGCTCCGCAGCGCTGGCTCTGTGACCTCCAGGGCGGGGGTCCTTAACTTTGTGTAGCCTGGTGGTGACCCTGTAAGTCACACTCAGGACACTGGGCCCTGCGCTGATCCTGGGGGCCCTCAGTGTCTCTCTCTCCCCTGCTGAGCAGCCCCGGATTGGCCCGGCCTTGCCCCTGCCCAGGTCCCCACGGCTGAGCAGAGGCTCCATGAGGCAGGCAGAGTGGCTGGCGGGGCTTCTGGGACCTAGCAGGTTCGGAGGACCCAGCCTGGCAGCGGTGTGGCAGGCGGCAGAGGAGGGCAGGGGGGCCCGGGCATCTCTGGTTCTGTTGACTCTCCCTGGGGTGAGGGTTCATCGGGGAACACAATGGAGCTGCCCCCTTTGTCCCGTAAGATAGCAGCGGCTGCAGCCTGCCCTGAGAACTCTGACGGCACCGAGCCCCAGGCTGTGTGGACCGAGGGTAACTGCCCCAGAGGAGCCTGGGACTGCCGAGCCCCGGGGGTGAGGGTGGGCTCCCGGCTCCTCAGGGCCCCCGTTCTGACCTGGCCGAGCAGTCCAGGGCCAGGACAGGAAGTGTCCACGTGCAGACCCCGTCTAGTCTTGGCACTGCCTGCGCCCACGGCCCACCTGGGGCACCCGCCCTGTGTCCAGCAGTGCTGCCCCACTTCTCAGCCCCAGATGCAGGTTCCCAGGCAGAGGGGCAGCAGGACCCCGTGGCCCCAGCCCGCCTTCCCGGCCCAGCCCCGCCCAGCCCACCCCTGTGAGCGACTCGGCCTCATCTGCCGCCCGGCCCCTCCCCTGCGTGTGCTTGCAGCTGCGCAGGCTACAGCTCCGAGGAAGTCCTTGGCTTCGCACAGGCCCTGGGGACTCAGAGTGCGCCTGGAACAGCCGGGAGGGAGCGCAGCTGGGGAGGCAGGGCTGGGCTGCTCTCCCACCCTGAATGGGGCCCGGCTGGGGGCACGATTTTTAAGAGGAGCAGGACAGGAGCTGCTCCCCAGGGACCCCCACTAGGAGAACTGCACCCCTGAGCTCAGGGATCTGCCCTCCACCCACCAAAGGGACCTGGGTCATGAGGCCTGTGTCACCATCCACAGGTGGGGGTCCCGCCCTGCATAGGGCCCCAGGCACCCCCGACTTAGGGGTGAGTGTTCCCACCTTCCCCTTGAAGGAAACGCCCAGCCAGAATCGTCACTGAGCCACGTCTGCTACTCAGGATTCAGGGTGCAGCGAGAGACAGAGGGAGGAGGGTGGGGTGGGAGAAGTCTGTGGGGTCCCTCCCCCAGCTGCCCTGGAGCCATCCTTGGGGCCTGTGAGGCCACGGTCAGCTGCGGCCTCGGGGTCAAGAACCGTGTGCGGGAGAGCTGGATGTGGGGCAAACCCCTGCCCAGACACCCCAGCAGGTCCCGCTGCTTGAAGGTGTCTTACAGGAGCCCCTAGCCCTGGCCCAGGCTGGACACGCTGCCCTGACAGGGGAGGGTCCTGTCTTTGGTCCCCGTGGAGGAGCCGGCTGCCTGGGCGGCCCCACAGTGGACAGGGACTCTGCCAGGCCAGAGCGCCCCGAGGCTGGACCTGTGCCACACAAGCCTGGGCGCCCCAGGAACAGGGGCGGGAAGGTCACCTCTGAGCTCTACCTGAGCGCCTCCCACCCGGGATCCACACAAAACCTGGAGGGCCTCTGAGGCGAACCACAGAAACACCAGCGTCCCCGATTCAACCAAAACCCACGGGTCGGGGCCGTGGCTTATGTCCGTCATCCCAGCACTTTGGGAGGCTGACGTGGGAGGATCATTTAAGCCCAGAAATTCAAGATCAGCCTGGGCAACATAGGGAAACCCCGTCTATACCAAAAAAAGCCAGGATCGGTACACAGCTCCCACCTCCTCTCAGACCCCCAGCTCATACCTCCTCCCAGAACCTCAGTTTCCACATACTCCCCAGACCCTCCAGCTCCCGCCTCCTCCCCGAGACCCCCAACTCAGAACCTCAGTTTCCCCACATACTCCCCAGACCCTCCAGCTCCCGCCTCCTCCCCGAGACCCCCAACTCACCTCCTCCTGAGACCCCCAGCTCCCACCTCCCGCCCAAGACCCCCCAGCTCCCACCTCCTCCCTGAGACCCCCAGCTCCCACTCCTCCTCCCCTGAGACCCCCCCGCCTCACACCCTCCTCCCCCTGAGACCCCCCAGCTCACCTCCCCGCCCAAGACCCCAGCTCCCACCTCCTCCCTGAGACCCCCAGCTCCACCTCCCTCCCTGAGACCCCCAGCCCCAGCTCCCACCTCCTCCCTGAGACCCCCAGCTCCCACCTCCTCCCCAGACCCCCAACTCCTACCTTCCTCCAAGACCTCCCAAGCTCCCACTTCTCCCCAAAGGTCCCTCTCCCATTATCACTGACTCCTCATCCTCCAAGGCCTTCTTTTCTGGGCTCTCTCCCTGCTCCCCACCCCCTGGCAGCCTGGGAGCTCCAGCAGGGAAGGGCAAGGCCTGGGATACCTCTGCCCTGGGTGCCAGGCCTGGGGCACACTTGCTTTACTGACCACCCTAGGATTACTTGGGCCTAGGAGTTTGAGGCCAGCCTGGCAACATAGGGAGATCCCATCTCTACCAACAACAACAACAAAAATTAGTCAGGCATGACTAGTCCCAGCTACTCAGTAGGCTGGGGCAGGAGAATCCCTTGAATCCAGGAGGCGGAGGTTGCAGTGAGCCAAGATGGCACCATTGCACTCCAGCCTGGTGAACAAGAGCAAAACTCCGTGTGTGCTTGGTGTGAGGTAGGGATCTAGTTCTATGTGTATGTGATGGACAGAAAGTCATCCCCATGGTGTGGTCACTGTGGGGTCTGTCCCCTCCTCCACCAAGTCCCAGTGCACCAACTGCCCCATCTGCCTGGTCCATTACTGAACTCTCTGTTCTGTTCCATCAACTCAAATCAACCTACAAAAATGGCTGTAATCAGCCTGGGTATGCGTGACCCCAAAACAGCTGGTTAATTCCCTGAAAAGAATTGAGCACCAGATGTGGGGGATCATGTAACCTGAGGGCTGCTTCTCTACTTTCAGTTCTGGCCGGGGTGGGGGTTCTGATAATCACTCGTTAGCTGCTTTGCAGGCAGACACTCACTGTATGCCTTCAGGGTTTCAGGCACCGGGATGGACCACGTTGGGTGGAGCTTAGGAGAGGTACACACTGGAAGGCGGGGAGGGATTGACAATGCGGCAGAAACACACGCCAGGTCATTTTTGTGAGGGACAGGTACTACTGAGGAAACCACAGGATGTAGGCACAGGTGGCTGTCCGGAGGGCGTCTTCGAGGAGGTGGTCTTTTTGTCTGGTCTGACGGACGAGATGGGGTTCACGAGCAAAGATCTGGGGTGGAGAAATTCCAGGAAGAGCAACTAAAACGGCCCTGCAGCAGGAATGGGCAGTGCGTGGACACTGCCAGTGGGACTGGAGCTGGGAGGGAGGTGGGGGCTGTGGAGAAGCAGGTAGGGCCGGCCCGTCCCCATCCCACCCGTTCCCAGGGCCACTCCAGCTCCAGAGCCTGTAGCTGCCCAGTCAGCCCTTGCAGGTCAGGCCCTGGCCCAGGCCACGTTTACCCCCACGGGCCCAGGACACCCAGCCCTTGCCTGCATGGAAAGTCCAATCCTCTGCCCGCCTCTCGGCCAGCAGAGCCTTTCACAGAACTGGAGGACACTGGGCTGAGCTGCCTGGAGGGTCTGCAGCTCACAGCCTCAGGGGACGTGCGGAGCTGGCTCAGCACAAAACAGGATGTGCCTGATGCTAAGTTCTCAAAACTGCGCATGAGCATGGGCAGCTGACAGCAGCAGGAGGACTGGGGTCATGCAGGGAGGCGGTCAGGGACTCCTCGGGTCAGCCTTAGGGGCCGTGCAGGGAGGTGGTCAGGGACCCCTCGGGTCAGCCTTAGGGGCCATAGAAGGAGGTGGTCAGGGACCCCTCAGGTCAGCCTTAGGGGCCATGCAGGGAGGCGGTCAGGGACGAACGATGGCTTGGTACCTCTATGGCCTGAAGCTGGCTGGCAGGGAGCTCTGGGAAGCTGTCCACAGACCTGGAGGAGCCCTGTCCTAAGTGGACAGCAGGGTCCCCGCCAGGCCCAGCTCCCACCTCTCCCAGGCCTGGGCGCAGTGGGCCGTTGGCCACTTCAGCCACTTTGCTGCGGTCCAGGCAGGCGGGGACCCTCAGAGCCCCAGCGGGGCATCAGGGCGTTCAGGAGGCGGTGCTGGCTGTGAGTGGGGCCCTGGGCTGGCGGCGGCAGGGGCGCCGGTTTTCTCGGCATTAAGCCTGGCTCCGCTCTGCCGGCTGTGGAATTCCTGGTCTGATCCGTCTCCAGATTGGCCCTGGAAGAAATTGGGGGAGAATCGATTTGTGCCACGTTCTAGCAGCACGGCCTCATCATGACAGATGCCAGGCAACCACGCGCAGGGAGCCCCCGGCCCGGCCCCCACCCTCCTGCTGGGACCCTTGGGCTCCTCACTCCCCTGCCCCACCCCCTTGCCGCCCCCATGCCCCTGGCCGGCCTGCTGGCGCCTGGGAAGGAGGAGAGGGGTTGCTGCTTGCCGGGAGTCACGCGGCACTGCCCAGGCAGAAACTCGGCGGGGTCTCCTGGCGGCACTCACACGTGGGAGCTCATCCTGCCCGACGCAGCCCAGAAACGAGAGCGTCCCGAGCACAGGGATACCGGCACGGGGCCACCTGGGAAGCCGAGGTGGGGCCAGGACAGCTCTGGGCCTCTTCCTCTCTTGGCCTCCTTGCTCCAAGGCTCCTCTGGGAGCCCAGGGAGGAGAGGGAGAGGCCTCAGGAGGGCTTCCTGGAGGAGGTGGCCCTGAGCTGGTGCTGGAGGAAGCCTCCCCTGGCCCGGAGCCTGGCTCCAGCGTCAATTACACGCCCCCTTCCGGCGCCCCGCGGCGTCAGGCACTGCCTCTGGCCCCGAGAGGCGTGCCGGCACGTCACACTGGGCTGAGTGTTCTGTCACCTAGAACTGCTTCCCCTAACACCGGCTTCCCTGAGCCCCCGGGAGGCCCCCCAGCTGGCACGGTGCTCACGGCCCCTGTGGAGCTGCCAGCCCCAGGTGGCCTCTTCAGCCTCTCGGGCCCAGGGGAGGGTGGAGCCAGGAGGGGGGAGGGGCGGGGTTCGCTCTCAGAGCCAAGGCTTCCGGTCCCTCCAGGCTGCTGGGCTGTGGGTGCTCTGCGTAGACCCTGCCCTGCCGGGCAGCTGGGAGGCACAGAAGCCTCTGCGGGGAGGGACAGAGGGGGCTGGACGGGCCAGGGTGTCCACACTGCAGGCAAGGGCTGGTCCTCAGCTTCCCTGTCTGCTAAGTGGGGCCCGCTGGGCTCTGGTCAGCCTCCCAAGGCTCCTCACCACCTCCAGGAAGCCACCTGGATTGCTCTGTCAGAATGGAAGGTGAGGGCCACAGCCTGGAGCCAGGGGCTGCAGCCTGAAGATGCCTGTGCTGCCCGCTCAGCCCTGCCCGCTTGGCCGTGCCCGTGGCTAGGGCTGCAGCTTCACAGCTGTGCTGAGGGGCCCCGCCCACTGTGGGCTTCAGGTCCAGGCCTGGCCTCACCCACATGTGGCAGCCCTGTGGCCTGGGGAGTGGCAGGGAGCTCACACAGGGCCAGAGAGGAGGCGCCACGGCCAGCACTGGGTCCAGAGCGCTGCTGGCCGGCCCTCTGCAGACACAGGCCTCGCTCTACCCTGGCCCTGTGCCCCTGTGGGCACCGGGCTGCCGAAGGCTGGGCTGTAGCCGCCATGGCGATTTCACATCCACCCTGCTCGGGGTCCCAGGGAGTGCCGGACCCAGCCAAGCTACATTCTGACCAGACCCTGTGGCTGGGCCGAGTTTCTGTCGCCTCCTGATGACAGGAGACACGGGACACGACACTGACTGGGAGCCTCTTGCCCAGGGGAGCGGATGCACAAGCCCCGAAGCCCAGGCCGGGTAGGGAGGGGCACGGCCTGCCCTCCAGGCGCTCCTGGTCTGCTGGGGTCATGGGAGGAGTGTCCCGGCCCCGGGCCCCATCGTGAATGAAGGGGGTCCAGGGTCTGGTTGCCGGGGCCGTCCAGCCAGCTGTCCGTACCTAACGCTGCTGCAGGGAGGGGTCCTGGGGACTTGGCATCTGCCTCTACATGTGTTCCCAGCCGGCAAGCGGGGTAGGGGGCTGGGTGGGAGCCAAGCCGGGTTCCCTACCTTTGCCAGAGCAGGCTGCTCAGGGCCTGGGCGGCTGCCCTGCACCACTCGAGGTGGGGTGGGGTGGGTCCCGGGCAGGGGCTGGAAGAGGGGCCGCTTGGGCCCAGCTAGCTGAGGACGGCAGCTCAGGGAGCGCTGGGAGGCCCAGGGGAGCTGGGGGGCAGGCGGGTGCCGGGCGTGGTTCCGGTTTGTGACTGGGCTCTGAGAGGAGTGACCGTGAAGGGATGGCCCCTGTTATCCTCTCAGCGGCCGACAGATTCTGCCACCCGCTCTCGGCCACAGATGGGGAGACTGAGGCACACAGAAGGGCCGTCAGCGGCATGAGGCTGTGGGCGGCCAGTGGTGTGGAGGTTACCCAGGAGTCGTCCAGCACAGCGGGGCGGCGGGTCCAGCACTGGCCTTCAGGCTGCCCCGGCGTGGTCTCTCCCGCTCCCGCCTGGCTCTTGGGCCCCTGGTCTGGCTCTTCCTGCTTCCTCCACCTCCGGGAAGCCGCCAGGATTGCTGTGCTCTGAACCAGCCCTCCGTGCCCAGCTCAGCCACTGCTCAGCCACTGCGATGCCACATCCGGGTGCGGCCAGGCCCTGGCTTGGGGCCAGCGGTGGGCGGGAGCCGCCTCACCACAGCTGTCCAGGCTGCAGCCCCCAGCCACGGCAGAGCAGGCGGGGCTGCGACCGGAGAATAGGCGCCTTCATGTTGCAGCCCCTGGCTCTGGACTGCGCCTGGGCTCCACCCTGGCCCCCGTGCTCCCCCCACCGTGCCCGCGGTGCCCTCCTCCGCCTGCGCGGCTGGTGGCAGGGCCTCCCCGTGTGGGACCGGGCAGCCACCTGCTGCCCACAGCTACAGCCACACAATGGGCCCTTGTGAGCCGGCGGGCAGCGGGTGGCGGGCAGCGCCTCTCGGCCCACCCCGGGCTCAGAGCCCCGCTGTGTCCTCACCCTGGCTGAGGAGCACGGAGCCAGCCAGGCTGGCCCCACCCACCCTCGGCCACAGGGTCGCTGGGGCTGCCCCCAGCCTCTGTGGTTCCTGCCCCAGCCTCCCACTGGGAGACGGTGGTCTGCCTGCCTGAGGGCGGGGGTTTTCCAGAGTAGGAGTTCCGTGCCAGAGACCACCTAGCCAGGGTGTCTCTGGCAGCCTGAAGCTGAGCGGTGGCTGGTCTGGGGGCCCAGGAGCCACCATCCCCTCCAGGCCTCCACGTGACCAGGGTGTGGCAGGAAGTTCGTTGCAAATGCCCAAGCCGTCCCAGGCATTGTCCTGCTCCAGGGAGAACTGTGCTGCCCCACAGCTGGACAGGAGAGATGGGGCCTCTTTCCCGGGGGAGCTCAGTGCATTGGGAGGCCCCTCCCTGGGACGGCCAAGGCATAGAGAAGCCAAACGGAGCAGTGGGACAGGTGGGAGAGCCAAGTGCCTGGATCCAGCCATGCCTGAAGCCATCCCTCAAATTCATGACTTGGATTTTTAAAATTCGTTTTATTTTATTATTATTATTATTTTTTTGAGATGGGGTCTCTCTCTGTCGCCCAGGCTACAGTGCAGTGGTACAGTCATAGCTCACTGCAGCCTCAGACTTCCGGGCTCAAACCATCTTCCTGCCTCAGTCCTCCAAGGAGCTGGGAATACACTGTCTCACACGGCTTCTGAGGTCTGAGAATCGAAAGGGGCTTGGCTGGGCGGAGTGGCTTAGGGGGACGTTGCCATCAAGCTGTCAGCCAGGGCCGAGGTCACCTGAAGGCTGGACTGGGGCTGGGGCAGGCCTGCCTGGGGTCCAGCTTGCCCTCTTTCCTCAGTGCTGGGAGTCAGGAGGTCTCAGCCCCTACGTGTGGCCCCCACACGTGGCCCCTCCATGGCGCTGTCTGGGTCCTCCCAACATGGCTGCTGGCTTTCCCTGGAGCAGGAGGCAGGGGCCGAGCCCCTTCACAGCAGTTACCCACCTCGCGGGACCAGGCCTGACCGGGACCGGGACCCTCCTGGTGCTACCGGCTCAGGATCTGTCCCTGCCTCTGACTTTGGCTTCTTTCTGCCACAGCCGCAACTGGCAATTACCAAAGAGAAACCACAAACAACTGTACATAATCTCCCAAATCCCCAAAGCAGCACAGGAGGGCTGGCAGTCTCCAGGCAGATGCCGTCCCAGCCGCAGGCTCCTCCTGTCCCCCACGAGCAGCCCCGGGCAGCCCCCTCCACCCCACGGCATTGGGATTCCTGGCTCCCTCCTGGTTTGGGCGACTCCAGGATTCCGGGATCATCCTGGCTGGGAGGCGGTGGGTGTTACCTTGGAGTGGGCGAGGAGGGAGTGGGCCCTTCTAATCACCAGCGTGCTGAAGACCCAGCTCCTGGACACGGGGGTGGGGGGCAGGGGTTACAGGCTCAGGAGCTGCCGAGCACTGTCCACCGAGCACTGAGATGAGTCACGGCCACGGGGCCACTTCCCTGCATGGCTCTGCCCACCGCTGCCTAGGCTGCTAGACCCACACACGGGGCTCCTGGCCCCTGGGGAGTGACAGCCCCATCCCAGCTAGAGTGTCTCCCCTAAGCTTTGAGGTTCCTGGGTCGGGGAAGGGGCTCCCTGGCAGAACCCCAGGTAGGACACCCTGGGCCAGAGGCCACACTGGCCCCCGGGCTGCCCACAGCACACACAGGGAGAGTCCCCTGAGGAGCAAGGGACAGATCAGGGCGGAGCCAGTGTGGGGAGCACCCTGCTGGGGCAATGGCAAGCAGGGCCCCACGGGAGCACTGGACCACAGGGACATGGGATGGCGTGGGCCGCTCCTGGGTGCTGTTCAGGTGCAGTTCATTGCCCTGGAAGGGTGCAGTGGGAGAATCACCATCTAGGGGTCTCTGGAGCTGAAGTTGGAGCCTCCACCATGGCCCCTCAGGGACAGAAACCACAGAAACCCACATCCGGGACAGGGTACAGCGCCAAGCTCCCCCGGGGGGTGGTCCCTCACGCCCCTCCCTGGGGAACCCCTCCTTCAGGGGTCCCTCAGCCTGGAGGGGGAGGAAGAAGGGCTTCCTGGGTCCCTCCCCACTCCCAGACCCGCAGAGGAGCAGCCGTACACAGGGACAGTGACGGGCAAAACTGGCTTCCCGCTCGGCCCCGTGGGGCCCCACTAAGGGCCAGACCCCAGGCAGGGCCTCAGTGCCAGAAGCTCGTTTGCAGGGGAGGCGGGAGCGGCGAGGAAGCTGGCCGGGCTCCGTGCACCAGCTCCCAGGCCCTTCTGGTGACTTGAGGGCACCTCAGG